TATAACAAAGTGTTGAATATCTTGTGTGATTGACCAGTATACTGAAAGTGAGAAACGGAATAGTTGTGTCGGTACTAGAAGTACAGCTTTTACCAAATGTGTATCACTTTTTCACCATCATAAAGTAAAAAAATCCAGAGGTGAACCAGCCTAAGTCAGGGACTGTATGTATTCTGAAGATGATTAAATTATACTAAATCTATATTGTAAATAGTAGTTGCTAAAATAGGAAATAGGTTAAAACCTATTCCCCTTGATTATATGATTTTAAAAAATATAAATTGATGTGCTAATAGTTCTATAAGTTATTCTTAGCCTCGATTAATGTTCTAGGCATTTATCTGCAGATTATTTAAATTTATCTCTGCTCTTATTAGTCATTGGATAAAGTCCAGGCTATTAACAAACTTGAAAATCTTTGAAAAGGAAGAATAGATTTATTAACCCAAAATATGATGATTACCTTATCAGGTTTCAAAATTTTTGTTTTGACTTTTGTTCTTCATTCAAGGTTATTTACCAAAATATATATGTTGAAATGATCTTGGCAATCACCAGTTGGTATCATAATGCAATCACTCTCGTTTATACCTACACTGAGCTTAAGTCTATCACTTTCTGCAATATAGAACAGGAATATTACGGAGTGGTTTCCAGGGAAACTTTACATTTAAATAAGAATGGAAGATTCACTTTATACAGACCTCAAATAATTTTTCACTAGGGGCTAAAATCTAAAAGCATGTGAGAAACCATCAAATTTCTTGTATTATCTAAATAGATGCATTTAACCTTACCTGAAGAGAGGCATAAGTGAAAGTATTCAGGAAACACTTGCATATCTAGAAACATAGCCATGGAAAGATGTAAGGGAAGTGGCACAGGCTTTGGAGTCAGTCACACAAAGGTTAGTATCCCAGCTCTGCCATTTTTATATTTCTAAAAATCATATAATCAAAGGAAATAGATTTCTATCCTGCTTAGTTTTAGCAACTAATATTTGCAATATAGATTTGATATAATTTAATCATCTTCAGAACACATACAGTCCTTGACTTAAGATGCCATTTACTAACTGTGTAGGCTTGGGCAAGTTACTAACTTCCTTTTCTTCAGAAACCTCAAGTAAGCAGGGAATATAACTACTTTTGAAGAGTATAATGCATGTCAAAATGTCTAACACAGTGCCTGATATATAGTAGATATTAAAAAAATGGTAGCTTATCTTCCTGTATTGTCTTTTAAAACATTTTAAATTTTAAGTTTTTATGGGTAGATAGTAGATGTATATCGTTATGGTTACATGAAATATTTTAATACAGGCATACAATGCATAATAATTACACCAGTGTAAATGGGGTATCCATCATGTCAGGCATTTATCCTTTCTTTGTATAGCAAACATTCTGATTATACTATTTTAGTTATTTTAAAATGTACAATAAATTATTAACTGTAATGCTATCCTGTTATGCTATCAAATACTAGATCTTATTCATTCTAACTATATTTTTGTACCCATGAACTAACTCCATTTTCCCCTTCCCCCCACCTCCATTAAGTTCATACAAATGAGCGAGGCAGATTTTGTCACGATAATCTCAGACTCCGATGTATCAGCAATATGACCCTGAGGTTCTCTCTAAGATGAGGAACTATTCTAAGAAAACAAGGAAACCTTACTGGGCCCTGTTTAAATTTTTTTTTTTTTTTTTTTGGAGTAAACTTGCCTCTCTGTCAAAGCTGGAATACAATCTCAAGCCCTTTGGGAGGTTGGGGATTGAGATCAGTGAAATAACATCAGTGAAGGTCAGCTGACACCTCCCTGAAGGCTTGAGCACAGTACAACCTCAGATGTAAAAGCCAGGAGCGGAGGGAGGAGTAGAGGGCAAGAGATCTTAGGGGAGTAGCCCCCACAGTCAGGCAAAGTATCCTTTTGATGATTCAGCTTTGAAGCCCATGTTGTTGGTGACTGTGCCTGGAGAACAGCACTCTAACTGGGAGAAGAAAACAAAATAGGGGAGTTAATTGAATAGTAATCGGTATGATTTGCCTCTGCCTAAGTTATAGGCAATTGGGAAAAGAGGAAATATTTCCCATTGCCTGGGACATGATTTCAATGCTTGAAGATTTAATTTCAGCTCAAAAAAGTTGGTCGTTGTTGTTGTTTTTGAGGCAGGGTCTCACTCTGTCACCCAGGCTGGAGTAGAGTGGCGTGATCACGGCTCACTGCAGCCTTGACCTCCTGGGATCAGGTGATCTGCCCACCTCAGCCTCCTGAGTAGCTGGGACCACAGACACACACCACCATTTTTACTTTTTTTTTTTTTTTTGTAGAGACAGGATTTTGCCATGTTGTCCAGGCTGCTCTCAAACTCCTGAGCTCAAGTAATCCGCCTGCCTCCACCTCCCAAATTGCTGGGATTAGAGGTGTGTGCCACTGCGCCTAGCCTGTGTTGTTTTTTAAATGGATCTGGCTTTGTTACATTTGGGTCTTGACAAGGTTATCAACTTAAAGGGAGGGTATTGGGCTCTTCCTTTTATTTTTCTCTGACATTCTTTTGTACCCAAATTTGCATTTCACAGGGTCAGAAAACAATGCCGACTGGCAGGCTATGTACTGAAAAATACCTTTTTTTTTTTTGGGTTATGGGAAGTCTCAAGGAAGCTTAGATACCGTTCTAAGTTTACCATTCTAAGCCTAGAATTTAGAATTTACTTTCAGGAAAGCTGGGAGCCATTGAAGGTTTTAACATTGCACTATAAAAAGTACTAATAGCTATTTTTGGATATGTGGATTTAAAAGTTTGTTTTCTATGGCTGCCATAACAAATTACTACAGGTAGTCTAAAGCAACACAAATTTATTATCTTACAGTACTCTAGGTCAGAAGTTTCGAAGATTTTACTGGACTAAAATCAAGGTGTCAACAGAGTTACGCCCCTTTCTGGAGAGAGTCTGTTTCCTTGCTCATTCAGATTGGTTGCAGAATTCAGTACAGCTGTGATTCTAAAACTAAAATCCCCATTTCCCTGCCAGTTGTCAGGTAAGAGCCCTTCCCAGCTTCTAGGCACTGCTCACATTCTTTGCCTTGTGGTTCCCTTTTTATTTTTTCTATTTTCAAAGCCTTCAATAGCTGGTGAGTTTCTTCTCATGCTTTGAATCTCTCCTGCCTCTTGTTCTGTTATTGCATCTCCCCAACAAAATCTTCTGCCTTCCTTTTGTACTTTTTTGTTTGTTTGTTTTTTGTTTTTGAGACAGAATCTCACTCTGTTGCCCAGGCTGGAGTGCAGGGGTGCGATCTCGGCTCACTGCAAGCTTTGCCTCCCGAGTTCACGCCATTCTCCGGCCTCAGCCTCCCAAGTAGCTGGCACTATAGGCACCCGCCACCACGCCTGGCTAATTTTGTTTTTGCATTTTTAGTAGAGACGGAGTTTCACTGCGTTAGCCAGAACGGTCTCAATCTTCTGACCTCGTGATCCGCCTGCCTCGGCTTCCCAAAGTGCTGGGATTACAGTTGTGAGCCACCGTGCCCGGCCATTTTCACTTTTAAGGCCTATGTGGTGACATTTTACTCACCAGATAATCTAGGCTAATCTCCCAATTTCGATGTTCATAACCATAATCACATCTGATTATATTATATTATATTCATGAGATTAGAGTGTGGACATCTTTGCAGGGCCATTATTCTGCCTACTACAAAACTCATTAAAGTATAAATTGTATTTAAACCATAAGAGTAGAAAATATTACCCAAGGAGAATGTGCAGTTTTTTCTTGACTCTTCACCTGCTCGAAGGTTACTTTACCCATTCTTGTCCTACATGTCCCAATCTTTTGGATATCTGGAATTACTCCATCACCTATAACAGAATGCTGTAGACTGTGTGAGGCTTGTAAACAACAACAATTTATTTCTCATGGTTCCGGAGTCTGGGAAATTCAGGATCCAGGCAATAGCAGATTTGGTGTAAGATGAAATTCACTTCCTGGTTCATAGACTCTCGATGTAACCTCACATGGCAAAAGGAGGAGGTGAGCTCTCTGGGCTCTCTTTTATGAGGGCATGAATCCCATTTGTGAGGGTTTTGCCTTCATGAACTCATCACTTCCTAAAGGCCTCACCTCCAAATACCATCACTTTGGGGATTAGGTTTCAACTTACGAATTTTGGGGGGACACAAACACTCAGTCTGTAGTAGTGCTTTACCAATTTCTCAAGCATAGGACTGACTATTTTAGGACCATGGTCTGTGGCTAAGCCCAGTTTCTGCCCTTCGTCTCATCTCAGCCATCTCTGCCTTTCAAGCTCTGTTGCTGCCTATATCTTCTTTGGATTTATATGACATCTTCACCTTTCACTGGAGCTGCCAAACTCGCTTGTGGACTTGATTTATGATTGTTGCCTTGTTCTGAAGTTTTGTTTTTCACTTTCTACTCTTCCACTAACTCACTCTCTCTCTGAACATACTGCAATCTATGTCGCACTGAGATGAGGTATGACTTTTTTTAGGAGAGCTTATCCCAGTACCCAAGATCTTAGCCACAAGTGAGAGCTTCAAGTCCTTTGAGTGGAAAGAGAGGGAGGCAAATGAATAGGAGCCAACATCTTTTGTGATGCTGTAGACTCCCATGTAACACTGAGGCTAACAGCAAGGGATTTAGAATCTGACAATTTTGGGTTCCATTTCAGGCTCTGGTATCCACCAGCTATGGGCAATGTTAAATAACCTCTTTTAGCCTGCATTTTCTCATTTGTAAAGTTGGAACAAAAGATAACCTCACGGGCACCTGTAGTCCCAGCTACTCAGGAGGCTGAGGCCAGAGAATGGCGTGAACCCGGGAGGCGGAGCTTGCAGTGAGCTGAGATCCGGCCACTGCACTCCAGCCTGGGTGACAGAGCCAGACTCCGTCTCAAAAAAAAAAAAAAAAAAAAAGATAACCTCAAAGGTTTGTTATAAGCATTAAATGAGATGATGAATGTAATCCAGGACAGTGTAGTAAACGCTCATTTCATGATTTGATCTTAGTTCTTCACATCGTTGTAGGATACAGAAACACAAACAAGAAAACATTGGCTACTGGTATGCTACATTCCCAAATTTTCATTTGGAGATTTTATTTTCAACTGAGGGAAAATTATCTGCTTGTATAGTCCATGGCAGAGCCAGTGGAATGCAGAGGGAGAAGTAGGGTCTCACTTGTCCTTAGCAGTGTTCTCAATCCAGGATACATATTTGTAAACATTGGTGTAGATGCCGACGTCCCCTCCCATGAAGTGCCCGACCTCGATCCCCTGGAGCTTGTCTTTGCAGATGACAGTAGCAACGGCCACCTCCTACCAGAGATCGTGAAGAGATAGAGATAGAGATAGAGATAGAGATAGAAAGAGAGAGAGAGAGAGAGAGAGAGACACACAGAGAGAGAGAGTCAGATCTCACAGGAACCCTAGTGTCCTGCTTGGGTGAGCCCTGTCTGCAGGCATATGCTGGACTCATGAAAAGAGGACTGAATCGGGGACAGGAAGCTTGAGCCTTTTTCTCACTTTGCTGTAATTAGCTTTGTGTGACCTTGAGAAAGTCAGAGGACAGTCTATCTAGAAATCACATGTAAAATGGGTGAGACTCCATTTTTTGAACTGGTGAAGGCATTTTCTATTTGTGAAAAGTCTGATTTCTTTTTAAAGAAATGCCTGTTTTCATAATTTTACTTGTAGTTCTAAGAATGAATACCTAGCAAATGGTGTGTTTAACTGGAAGTACTTTATAATGTCCTTTAATGAATAAAGACAATTTAAGGGGAGCCCATGACTGAAGAAACAATGCTGGCTTCACAACAGCCTTATCAAATTCTCAAGAAATTACTTAGACATCTAAAAAAGTTTTTACATCAAGGTAAATAGTTAACGGGGCATATGCAAGTAAATGAAAGCTGAATACAGAGAAAAGATTACCCCAAAAATTCGGCTGAATACTTTCACAAATTTCACACATAAGGAATTCCTGTGGCTTTTTCCTTGTTCTGTTTTCTGGCATTCTTTATCAGACATCACAGGGGCCTCCAGGTTCTGCCGCAAGTCAGGGTGTCGGCCTGAGGGAGATGGGGATAAAATAAAACATCCTGTTAACAATTGTTATTTAGTCCTTCTAACCACCAGCCTATATTTCAACTGGTATCTTTTTGTGTGTGTTTAAAGAAAATAAGGAATGCGAAAAGGGAGAAATCATCAAGTGCATGGTTATGAGCTAATCTTGAGGATTTTGAAAAAGGCTTTATGTCTCTTTAAGGTAGAGTTTAGTTTCAATTGGTGGCCTGAGTCAGTTCTCAGAGGGGTCCTTTACAAGTGAAATGGCGTGTATGAGAAGTAGGACCACACCTTCTTCATGTGAATTGTGCCTCTGCCAATCAGGAAGGGCTGGGCCTCTGTGCAGAGTCAGATGGCCTGGTGGCTCCAGCTGCCAAAGCCCTGCAGAGGCAGTGGGGCATTAGACACCCTGGGAAAGGAGGAGTTTTGTTTCTCTGGGCACGTCTCTGTTTGCCAGACCACTCAGGTAGCATCTCCATTGAGTCTCCTTTCATTCTCCTTTCCTCCTCTCAGCTATGAGGATATGGATGTTCCTCTTAAAGGGCAACTGATGACCCCGATTTGCTGTGGAAGGCACACTTACCACTGTTTTCTTGGCTCCAGTCCAAACCTGAGAGTAGACAGACAGTGCCTGGCCGGACATTGGTGGTAGCAAGGGGAAGGGGCTGGACTTTGGGATTGAGCATGGCAGGCTTAGCCAGCTTGATGAGCATGATGTCATCCTGTGGGGCACTATCACTGTAGTTCCAATAGCGGACGATCTGAATGGGGTTAATTGTCTGTTCAGTACCATCTCTGACTCTACTCTTGAAATTTCCCAGCATCACTTTCAGATTTCTGGAGGGAGAGGAGTTGGAAGTAATCATTATCATCATCATCATCATCATCATTGCTAAGATACTGAATGTTACAAAGTGCTAGGAATTATACCAAGTGCTTTTTCTGGATTATCTCATTTAACTCACAACAAGTCTATGCAGTGGATTCTATTTTTATCCCCATTTAGTGCATGAATTAATGGGGCACATAGGAATAATTCACTCAGGGTGATATAGTAAGTAGTGGAGCCCTTCACTACATTTTAATGTCGTGTTCTTTAATGTAGTGCCCCCTGGTTGTGACAACCAAAACTATCTTCAGACATTGCCAAGTGTACCCTGGGGAGAAGTCACCCTTATTTGAGAACCACTGATCTAGAATGAACAGTAGCTGTTTTGAGGTTGGGGATGCCCAAATACTCAACGGTAAATAGCAGTGAGCTGGGGCCAGCACCCAGCTGGGTTTGATGAGGACGCCCACACAGGGGTTGAAGTGAGACTTCAGGTATACCAAATAGGGAGCAGGGTCTTCTTTCTGAACAGATGAGTCAGCAAATAAAAATGTCCCTGAGAAAATTACAAAAATAAGGTAAACAGTCTCCTACTCGAAAAGGAATCTGGATGACTCTTAAACAGTTACCAATTGGCCAGGAAGTGTTAACATCTTTGACATGTTTTTCTAATAAGAATGTAAATTAAAATGATATACCATTTTATCTCACATTTATAATAATTTTGTTTAATATTGATAATATTCAATCTGAGTATAATGAGACTCTCATCACTGCTAGTAAATTGATTCCATCTTCTTGAAAAGCAATTTAGAAATAGGCATCAAGAATCATACATTGTTTATAACCTGTGACCTAATCATTCCAACCCCAAGAACCCATTCTAAAGGAAAAACTCAGTATAGACAAGGTTTACAAACAAGTATGCTCATATTAGTACTATTTATAATAGCTGAACATTGGAAACATAAACATCTGACATAGTAGTGTTGGACATTGAAATGAAGAACATGAAAAAGTGGAACATCATGTAATAAAAACTAAACTATTTAGAATATTAAACAGCGAGATAAATATTAATGCTTATTTAAGTTAAAAAGAACAAGAAAATTGTGGATATAATCTATTTGTCTCAAAACATAAATGAAAAACCATGTAAATGCAAAAAGTATATAGAGTCTGGGAGTAAACTCGAAGTGTTAGCATGTGTTGACTAAGAGGTGGGATTATGAATGATGCTTATTTTTCTACTTAAAAAATGTCTAAATTTTGTAATATGAACGTATATTGTTTTTATAAATGAATTATTTAAAACATACGCTAGAGAATAAAGGGGAATAAGGCTGATTCTAGTACCAGAAATAAAGCACTGTTCTTGTCTTGTCTTCTCTTGTACTCCTGTTAATCTTCCCCAAGCCTGGGCCTGTACCTCACCACACCCTTCTGTGTGATCACACAGTTAGAAACCCCAAAGAGAAAGGGTAGACTATCAACAAGGGCAAGAGACATTGAGCTCTCTCTAGCAGGCACTATTCTAAGTGCTTTACATAGATTTATTTAATCTTCACAATAATTCTATAATATAGGTAGTCATACCCCCATTTTGAAGAAATTGAAGCACAGAAGAATTAATTGACTAATCTCACACAGCTAATGTGTGATACAACCTAGGCAGTCAGAGAGTGGTGGGAAATGCCTCACCTCCAAATTTGGTCATCAGAAGAACCCCACGTGGGGCAGGGACTACAGAAGGCAGGGCCCTAGTATTTGATCTTTTGTTTCTACCTTCTCTGTTTCCTGCATTCTGAGTCTTCAAAGTTTTAGAAACAGATGAATATCAGAGGTCAAAATGAGTTCTGTGTCCTTGTGACCACACTGGGACTTAGCTGGATGGTGATGAGGCTCACCTTTTTCAATAATTAGGGTTGGCAGGAGGACACTCACTGTTAAGCCTTCTCCGGGGCACATGTGTGCCTTAACCCACCCTATAGCTTAACACTAGAAAAGTGGGCTCAGCCTATCTGGAGAGCCTTTGGATGGAGTCTAAGAGGCAGGACCCCTAATTCTGCTGATGACACTATTTTTGACTCTTTTTCTGCACCCTTCGCAATCCGGCCTCTGTCTCACCCCATCCATTAACCTATGCCTTACAGGACAGAGTACAAGGTCTGGAGTACATACCAGTGAGGACACCCAAATAGAAGATAAATTTCATGGTGATCCAGCTCTTCCCCCTGTAAGATGTAGAAGAAAATCAGCAGAGTGTGGAGTGGTTGCTTAGTTGTCTCCTCAGGAACACCTGGTAGACTCAGTGGCTATGGTTAGGTACGGGGACACTCCATGGGATTGGAAAGCAGCTCTGGGCATAAACAGGGGAGGGAGATGGCTTCAGAGAGAGAGATGAAAGCCCTTCTGTTCCAGGGAAGGTGGAGGACTGTGCCTCTGTTGGCGCATTTCAGGGAAGGAAACTCCTGGATTCAGCTCCTTCTATCAGGTGCCCCTAAAAGCATATCTATTTGAGGGTAGTTCAATGGTCTGTGGAAATGGCAGCTCTAGGCTCAGGACTTATCTTCCCCACAGAGTTTCTGAGATCAGGGCTGTGAGGGACAATATTCTTTACCTTAGCTCACGGAGAAAGTGTCCTGAGGTTTGCTCTGAACCTCCTAATAGTTACTTATACTCTCCCCAGCCCCTCCCATCTTTGTTACACTAGCTTCATATGTCCCTTTGATCACTATTTCATCACTCAGTCATCAGCACTAAGTTGGTGTTTGTTGTCCTGACCAACAGCATTGAGCCAAGAAAATATGGAAATGAAAAGCATTCATAGAACAGTTATCTTGATAGTTGGGGAATTGTTTACAGTCTAGATGACATTAGGCCTCGTGACAATTCAGAAGGCAGTACCTCTAATACTTAAAGATTCAGACTAATAATAGACTACCAAAGTCATCCTTGGATAACTGGGAGCACAGTCTAACAAGAAAAAGAGCGGTAACACTAGTAGCTGATATCCTCTAAGCATTTACTGAATCCTAGACACTGAGCTAAGATCTTTATGGACTTGTTAGTAGAGATTTTATATCAGATTAGTCTGAGATGTAAAATTCATTACACTTTGTATCACTCTAACCCTTTAAAGTTTCTTAAACCCATGATCTCATTCCAAATGTCACAACAACCTTAGAAAGAAGAGATAGGGTTGGGCCTGGTATCATTATTTCTGGTGTGTGGGTGGCAGAACTGAAGCAGAGAGAATCTGTGTAATTTTCCCAAAGTCACACGTGGCAGATGAGAAGTAGGCCTTGTTACTGGTGTAGGGTTGCAGGTCCCCCACCGGGTTACTTAAGGGTGTATGGCCACTGCTTGAACCTTAATGGCCAATGGAGCAGGTGTCCTTGATGGCCAAGTGGTGAGTCAAGGCCATGGTGCCCAGCCAAGGAGCAGGTGTCCTTGAGTACCCAAACAACACAGAGAATATCTGAGAACCTAAGGAAAACAGTCCCATCATGCACACACAGTAGGCAAAGAGCCAGAAAATTAGCTTAAAAGCAGCTTAGAGATGCAAAGTGAGGCAGGTCTCTAAAGCTGTCCTCTGCTATCTAGGAGTGTCTCATATGTAAGTCCTAATAAACTTATCCACTGGCCAAAGCTGGACTTGTCTGAGTCATTCTTTGGTCTCTTGGCTCCCTCCTACTTTGAGGGGAAGGTTTTTTAAAAATATGATTCTGGATTTTTCTTGTTACAACTAGCATCACAAACGGGGTCAGAGAGAACAAACATCGAGCCAGGAATGGGTGTCTATGGTGGGGAATCCCTGGGCAGTCAGCAATGTCTATGTGAAGTGGAGTTGCCCAACTGCACAACCTTTGTGGGCCACCGCATGAGTACAGGGGTGCTTGGAAAACACTGGCAAGGACTGAATACCTATTGCAAGAAGCCAAGATATTAAAGTATGATAATGATAGTAAATGTTATTGCAATAAGACTGGCTAATCACAAATCATTAGAGCAGGAAAGGGAGAAAGGGTAGAAACTTCTGCAGAAGTTCAAAGCCATGGTTTTCTAATCCTCCAGCTGGTTACATATTGTGACCCTTTCTTGTGCACATTTTAAAACTGATGGGCAAATTACAACAAGCAAAATTCAGAGCTCAGATGGTTAATCTACAACTATAGAGTTAAGTAGAGTCTTCTAAAGCTCTCTATTTCTCTTTCTTTTTCTGCCTGCTTTGAATCTACTGTTATTAAGCTACCGGTATTGAGATAAAACTAATTCAAGGCCAGTTTGAGATTTCATTTTTCTTATACTGTTCAGCCAGTTCTAGCTAAAATGTAAAGAATTAAACTCATTTGGAACTGGAAAAACTATTTTCTGGCTGGACATGGTGCCTCACTCATAATCCCAACATTTTTTAGGAGGCTGAGGTAGGAGGATCACTTGAGCCCAGGAGTCTGAGATCAATCTGAGCAAGGTGGTGAGACTCTGTCTCTACAGAAAAATCTAAAAATGTAACTGGGTGTAGTGGCTTATGCCTGTCTCAGCTACTTGGGAGGTGGAGCCACAAAAATCCCTTGAGTTCAGGAGTTTGAGGTTGCAGTGAGCTGTGATTACACCACTGTGCTCCAGACTTGGTGAGAGAATGAGGCCCCATCTCTAAAAATAAATGAATAAATAAAATAAAAATTGTTTTCTTTGTGTTTACCTAGGAGATTATGTTTTACATCCTAAATTTATAACACTATGGTTTGTATTGATACCCATTTAACTGCAATATCATGCACAAACTCTAGTCTATATAGCTCCAGTCCCCTCTTTCATGTTGTTGTCATAAAGTATATCTTTGTCTATTGCATAACTAAGAAAATAGATTTGTAATTTTAATTCTTCTGTCTTGTAAATTTTGTATGAAATAAAAGGTGGAGTTACAACAACCAAAAATACAATAAAACATTTTTATATTCGTCCATGTAGTTATCTTTAGTTGAGATCTTTATATACTCATTAACTTGAAGTTTCTGTCTAGGGTTCTTCCTCTTCAACCTGAAGGACTCCTTTTAGTATTTCATGTAGGGAAGATACTGGTACCAAACTCCCTTAACTTTCGTATATCTGAGAATGTCTTAATTTCTTCCTGTTTTTTTGAAGGATGGTTTAGCTGAACACAGAATTTTTAGTTGAAGAATTTTTTTCCTCTAAGTATTAAATGTACTACCTTACTACTTTTAGCCTACATAATTTCTGATAAAAAACTGACAGTTGATCTTATGAGAATCCCATGTATGTGACAAGGTGCTTCTCTTTTGCTGCTTTCAAGTTTCTCTCTTTGTTTTTTGACTGATTATAATGTGCCTTTGTGTGGATCTCTCTAAGTTTCTCCAGTTTGAGTTCGTTGAGCTTCAGTGATGTGTAGATTCATGTTTTCAACAAATTTGGGAAGTTTTAGGCCATTATTTCTTAAATACTTTTTATGCACATTTCTCTTTATTTCTTCCTTCTGGGGTTTCCATTATGTGTATGTTCAAGTGCTTGATGGTGTCCCACAGGTACCTTAGTCTGTGTTCACTTTTCTTCTTTCTTCTTTCTACTCCTCAAACTGGATAATAGCAATTGTCGTGTCTTCAAGTTTGCTGATTATTTCTTCTAGCTTAAATATGCCATTGAACCTCTTTAATAAATTTCCCGCTTTATTAATTATTATACTCTTTAGCTCTAGAATTTCTGTTTGGTACCTTTTTTTCTATTAAAATATTTTTCTCTAAACATTTTTAAAACGTATTTATTGACATTCTCATTTTTTTCATACATCATTTTCCTGAGTGCCTTTAGTTCTTTGTACCTATTTTTCTTTAGTTCTTTTGAACATATTTAAGACAGTGATTTAATGCCTTTGTTTATTAAGTTCAATACTGGTCTTCCTCAGGGATGGTTTCTGTTGATGTTGATTTATTTTGTTCTTTTGAATGGACTATACTTTCTTATTTCTTTGAATACTTTGTGATTTTTTTGTTGAACCGCAGACATTTGGATATTATAGAGTCACAATTCTGTGAGTCAAATTATTTGTCTTCCCAAAAGTTTGTTGCTGTTTTTTTATTGTTGAAGCCTTTTTTTTATTGTTGAAGTAGACATCCACTTGTTTAGTGATTTTGTAATACTAATTTTATAAAGACTGTATTCCTAGACATATATGGTCATTGAAGTCTGTTTCTTTAGCTGTGTTTAGCTAATGTTTTGACAGAGATTTCACTGAATTCCTGGAACACAATACAAAAAACAAAACAAAACAAAAACTTCAAAAGCTAACAAACAACAAAAAAGTCAAAACACAAGTAAACAAGGAAACAACAACAAAAAAAAAACCACCCAAACAATCTCTTTCATCTTAGTAGGTTGACTCTGTGCTGGTGTAGTTCTCCAGTACGTAACCAGGCTTAAACTGAACCTAGACGTCAGTCAAAAGTAAACGGTTAGGATCTTTTTTGATCTTTTCTGATCATGTATTTTGCCCCTAGATAAATGTGTGATTTTCTAAATTTCCCAGTATATATTGTTTCTTTTGAGTTCCATAGTTTCCCAAAGAAACTTTCCCTGACATTTCCTCTGAGACTTTAGATGGTGTATTATATGTCTCAATAGTAATCTTTTGCCCTGCAGAATTTTTGTTTTACGATATTCTTACACAATGGCTGCCACTTTTTGCCATGAGTAGAATCTGTATTAAGTGAAACAAAGATTAGCACATTGTTCCAGTCCTTCAGGTAGTCCAGACAGATTAGAATACACATACATAATACTTTGTGAATGAGGTTTGCTCTGCACCCTCTGGAACCAGAGGGTGATACAGGGGATACAGGCTGTCATTCTCAAGACTGCTGGTGAGGTGGGGAGAGGGTGGGCAAAGGTAAGTAAAAACACCATGAAGCTTTCCTAATGTTTTTGAGTTGTGTTTTTTTCTTGTATCAGTGTTCACTTGGTTGCTGAAAAACTGAATGTTTTCTGAAGTTCTAATAAAGTTGATTTTGGGAGTTTCAGGTTGTTTTTGTCTTTTCAATTAAGAGTCAGGAGCTTGAAGCTGCCTATTCCACTATTTTCTCATGTTACTCATCCCTGGCCTCTGGGTTTTGATGTGTATTCATCAGGTTTCTCTAGAGGAAGAGAGCGAATAGTATATGTGTATACACACATGCACATGCACATGCACACACACACATACACATACACTCCCTTTCATATGTATATGAAAGGGAATTTATTAGGGAGAATTGGCTCACATGATTTCAAAGGTGAAGTCCCCAAATAGGTTGTCTCCAAGGTGGGAAATGAGAAAAGCTGGTAGTGTAACTCAGTCCCAGTTCAAAAGCCTCAAGACCAGGGAAGCTGACAGTATAGCTTCCAGTCTGAGGCAGGTTGCTGGTGCAAGTCCTAGAGTCCAAAGCCTGAAGAACCTGGGGTCTGATGTTCAAGGGCAGGAGGAAAAAAGACATCTCACTGTAGAAGGGAGAGAGAAAAAGAAAGAGAGAGGAATGTAAGAAAGCTGAATGTCCCCCTTCTGCAAACTTTATTCTAGCCTCACCCATGGCTAGAATAAAACCTTCTCTTCCAGTCCACTGACCCACATGTCAGTCTCCCCTGGAAACACCCTCACAGACACTCCCAGAAACAATGCTTCACTGTCCATCTAGGCATCACTCAATCCAGTCAAGCTGACACCTGTGTTAACCATCACAGAGAGTGTAGTCTCTGTAGGGTTAAATGGAATTAGAGAGATGCACATGAGAGAGTGCAAGACTGACTTGACCTGTTTATAACCAGGACTTAGAGCCTAGAGAAAGACAGCCTGGGTTTTGAGAAACTCTTGATGAGGGAGATTTCAAGTTTTCCCATTACTCAAAACTTTTAAGAATTCTCAAACCTGATTAGTCTCA